GGAATTCTGGGAACTCGAAGAACACGAAGTGGCCTACAGTTGGCTCCGGGCATTCAAAATGTGCCCGGAATGGAGTTCTGGGAACTCGAAGAGCACGAAGTGGCCTACAGTTGGCTCCGGGCATTCAAAATGTGGCCCGGGAATGGAGTTCTGGGAAGTCGAAGAGCACGAAGTGGTCTACAGTTGGCTCCGGGCATCCAAAATGTGGCCCGGGAATGGAGTTCTGGGAAGTCGAAGAGCACGAAGTGGCCTACAGTTGGCTCCGGGCATCCAAAATGTGGCCCGGGAATGGAGTTCTGGGAAGTCGAAGAGCACGAAGTGGCCTACAGTTGGCTCCGGTTATTCAAAATGTGGCCCGGGAATGGAGTTCTGGGAGGTCGAAGAGCACGAAGTGTGTGACTGTTGGCTTAAAACGAGCCCGGCTCTGTTCCCGGCCCTCCTCCCCGGCACCCGCCCAGACCCCCCTGTGGAGTCCAGATGCTCTCTTTTGACCCCACTAGAAACCTATCAGCAAAAGCTGTTAGGTAAAAAAGTGTGTGTGTGTGTGTGTGTGTGTGTGCGTCTATGCGTGCATGCGCGTGCGTGCGTAAGAGCCTACGCGCGCGTGCGAACACGCTGACGTACGTGCCTCTGGCGTGCATGCGCGCGCGGTATGTGTCGTGTTCCGTCTTGTGTGTTGTGCGTTGTGCCGCCTGTGTTGTTCGAGATGCTTCGTGTTATGCTGCATTTACGCGTGTATGTGTGAATGTGTGCATGTGTGTATGTGTTTATGTGTATGTCTATGTGTGTATGTCTATGTGTGTATGTCTATGTGTGTATGTGTATATGCATATGTGTGTGGACGTGTGTATGTGTGTATGTGGTTGCGTATGTGTGTGAATGTGTGGTGTGTATGTGTACACGTGTAGAGGTGTATGTGTATGTGTGTATGTGTATAGGCTTAGGTGTGCATGTGTGTATGTGTGTATGCATGTATATGGTTTCGTCGACATGCGTGTGTATGTGTGCATGTTTGTATGTGTATATGTATGAGAGTGTGTGTAAATATGTCTGTGTATGTGGGTGTGTGTCTGTGTGCATGTATGTGTGGATTGGCCTGTCTGTGTCTGCGTGTGTATGTGTGTTGTGCGTTGTGTACTGCGTGTGTTGTGTGTGTGTTGTGTGCTGTGTGCTGTTTGTTGTGTGCTGGGTGGTGTGTGCGTGTTGTGTTGCGTGTTGTGTGCTGTGTGTTGTGTGTTGTGTGTCTGCCGATTGTGTTTGTGTGTTGTGTGTTGTGGTGTGTGTGTGTTGTGTTGTGTGTGTTGTGTGTTGTGTGGTGTGTGTTGGGTGTTGCGTGTTGTGTGTTGTGCGTTATGTGGTGTGTGTGTGTTGTGTCGTGTGTTGTGTGCTGTGTGTTGTGTGCTGTGTGTTGTGTGCTGTGTGCGTGCGTGCGTGGGTGCAGGTGCGGGTGCGGGTGCGGGTGCGGGTGCGGGTCGGGATGCGTGTGCGGGTGCGGGTGCGGGTGCGCGTGCAGGTGCGGGGGTGTGTGGGTGTGGGTGTGGGTGTTGCTGTGGGTGTGGCTGTGGGTGTGGGTGTGGGTGTGGGTGTGGATGTGGGTGTGGGTGTAGGTGTGGGTGTGGGTGTAGGTGTGAGTGCAGGTGTGGGTGTGGGTGTGAGTGTGGGGTTTGGGTGTGGGTGCGGGTGTGTGGTGTGGTGTGTATGTGTACATGTGCATGTGTATGTTCATGTGTCTGTGTGGCCAAGGTGCCCGCGTGGCTGGACACCCTATCAGCCTCTCTGCAGATCAGGGGACCCAAAGCGCAGCGCGGATGCCACCTCCTGCAACAGGCGCCACCTGGCTGGCACTCAAACCAAGCCGCCGGACATCCGGCACGAGACGCGCGTCCAGCCCCTGGTGAGGCCCGAGAACCAATGCGGCATTGAATCGTGAGCGGTGCCCCAAGATCCACGCTAGAGGCCATGTGCCGTGCGGCGTCGTGCCATGGTACCACCTGGTGCTGCATGGCGACCCGAACCCGTTTTGACAAACCGTTGCCAGGCTGTTGTGTGTCGTGGCGAATACGCGGCATTTTTTGTGGGCCGAGGTCCGATTCGGTGGCCCGAGTCTGTGTGGTGCTCTGCGACTGCGCCATGATGTGCCGTGTGACGTGTCCCGCGTACCAAGCTGGTACGATATGACGCCATGGTGCCGCGTAGTCCTGCGAGCTAGCGGGCGTTGCTGTGCAGCGCTTACAGAACTAGCTGTTTGGGGCCGCTGAGCGGAGATAACGTCGGCTTTGGTGGAAAGGCCTCTTCTCAGAATAAAGCCCACGGCGTGGCACGGCATGCCACGGCATGCACCTTCACAGCAGCACGGCTCGTCACGGCACCACAGAAGGAGGTACACGGCACCACGGCACCACGATGTACCCTAGAAGGTCCCACTCTTACCTCAGGGCCCTAAGATGGGCATATTCGGTTCCACCTGGCAGAACAGCACCACGACACGGCACGGCACTGCACCTCTGCACCACCAGACCGGCTATGGGTTCCCACCTCTGCGCCACGAGACGCCACTCTGTTCCCTCGACACACCATGGCACGACACAGTAAAGCACCAAGACATGGTATGGCTCGGCATATTGTGGCAAACCTTCACCACCAGATCACGAATTGGCGATATCAGCAGCCCTACTTCATTACCGGCACGACACCACGGCACGGCACGTCACCTCTGCGCCACCAAATCTCCTCTCGGCAACCTCAGCGCACCATGGCACCACGACACGACACAGCATGGCAGGGCGCCTCCACACCACCGAATCGCCTCCTGCCACCATCAACACCTGACCGCTCGGACGACACAGCATCACGGCACGGGATGGCACCCCTGCGGCACCAGTTCACGATGTGGAAACAGTTTAGTTTCCAGGGCCCCCCCAAGAATCCTGAAGGGCCCGTGCAACACTTGCGATCCGGGGGAACGTCCCGCGCGTGCATGAACCGTACTGGACAGGGGTTGGAAGGCAAGCTTGCACGGGTACGGCAAGATCGTGTCGCGATGACGTGCGCGTTGGTGTCTGAATGGGCGTGGGCTCATTCGAATTCGAACGACCGTGGCAGTCTGCCAACCGAGATCCTTCAACGCTGGCTCGAGCTCAGGTCGCCGGTGGCTTTCAGCCTCGAACGTCCGCGCTGGTGTCGCCGTCGCGTCGACGCGACACGAACCTACCGTAGGCCAGGAGCTGGAAAAGGATAAACCAGAATGCACCAATACAGTTATTCCCCGGACCTCCCCCGCGGTGCGTTCTGGCCAGGATTTCGAGGCGAATCCAGCCGTGGCGACGAGGGTCTCCCAGGAGGTCCAAAAAGGCGAAAACGAGGGAAGTGTAGCAATATCGGTCCCTCCGAAGAAGATCGGGAGGCGAGTCGTATTCTCCCCCCGATCTCCAGAGCGGCCCAGCGGAGCAGCGCTGTGACGTGCCCTCGGCCCCGGCCCCGCGAGGCGGGCGTCGTGCTGCGTGGGCACGAGGTCCCAGGCCGGGTCCGCCGCTTCGCCGAGCGGGCTGGGCGGCAGCCGCAGGACGGCGACGCCAGTGATGGCTGGCGGCGCACACGAGAGGGCGCGGAGGGGGGGTAAAACGACGCGAAGATCGGGACAAAATCGGATCGGGATCATTCGAAATCTCTGAGAATCGGCGGGTTTGGAGGATGTATTGGGCGCCGCGGCCGCTCCAGAGCGCTCCAGAACGCTCTGAGAGCGCTCCGGGACGCTCTGGAGCGATTTATCCCGATCCTAGCCCTGTTTTGGGGGGGGCCTCTGAGGAGGCGGGCCTGCCTGGAAGGCAGGGTCCCGCGGTCCCGCTGTCGCGGGGGGACGCGACTGGGGAACCGGCTCGGGGAGGAAGACAGCGAGCCGGCATCGGCGACACGTCTCCGAGAGGTTGACGATGGGTCCACGATAGCGAATCCGCACGTTCCTACGCGGGGTGGGCTATCTGGCCTGTGTCGGCGACGAATGGGCGATTGGGGGTCGATGCATTCCCCCTTGATCTGATCCCCCCCCTGACGTTACCCCTGAAAGGGAGGCCTTCTTGAGTAGGCGGGCCTTCTTAAGAGGGCAGGATCCCGCTCAGAAACCCCCCTGGCCTCAGCGAAGCTTTTCCAAGAAAATCCAAGATATTCTAAGGAAGGCCCGCGCCGTGTGAGAAGCCTTAGGTCGGGCATGTCCTCCTACAGGTGGATTTGGGCAGACAGCAAAAAATAGTCACAAAATGCTCAAACATACCCCAACAAGACACGAAAATTGTCCCCCAGACTGTAGAGGGACATGCCCAACTTAAGAGAAGCCCCCCGCATTCTTGGAGGGCCGCCCCCCCGCCCCCACCCCGCCCTGAGCGCGCCGCCGAGCTTGGCGCGATCCTGCGGTCGTGGCCCCCGAAGATCACCACCCGCTCCCGGTCCAGCAGGGGCGTAAAGGTGTGGTGGAACCTGGCGGTAGGCCGCCTTGGGCTGTGGACGCCCCCAGGCGACACCTCCAGCCACCTCATAGAGCGAACAGAACTCCTCCTCCTCCTCCTCCTCCTCCTCCACCTCCTCCTCCTCGTCCTCCTCCTTCTCCTCCTCCTCCTCCTCCTCCTCCTCCTCCTCCTCCTCCTCCTCCTCCTCCTCCTCCTCCTCTCCTCTCCCCCTCCTCCTCCCCCCCCCCTCCCCCCTCCTCCCCTCCTCCTCCTCCTCCTCCTCCTCCTTCTCCTCCTCCTCTTCCTCCTCCTCCTCCTCCCCCTCCTCCTCCTCCTCCTCCTCCTCCTCCTCCTCCTCCACCTCCTCCCCTCCTCCTCCTCCTCCTCCTCCTCCTCCTTCTCATGTACACGCGCACGTCCTGGCCAGGCCCACCGGGGGCCCAGGCCCACCCTGGGCCCACGAACGCAGCATATGCACTCGTGGCTTGGCCACGATGGCCCCGGGCTCAGGATGGGCCTGGTCAGGCTCGGTGCACGTGCGCACCTCTTCCCCGCTCGACC